AATAGAAGGAAAGTAGCTAAATATAATGAAAGCCACCTGTGAAACGCCCACAGCTAATAACATATACAATGGTAAAGACTGAAAGCTTTCCCTCTAAGATTATAAACAGGGCAAGGATGCCCACTGCTCTCAGTATTTCCATTCAACATAGTACTAACAGTTCATACAAATCAGAAAGGAATAAAATTAGCTCTGTTCAGAGACAATATGGTCTTATATGTAGAAAGTCCTAAAGATTCAATACCCCTCTCCAAAATGCTCCATTAGAGTAAGTTCAGCAAAGGGGCAGAATACAAAAAAAAGTCAACACACAAAAATCAGCTATTACTATACACTAACAATGAACAATCCAAAAGGAAATTAAGAAAACAATTCCATTTAAAATAGCACCAAAAACAATAAAATGAAATACTTAGGAACAAACCTAACCAAGGAGGTGGAAGACTTACACACTGAAAATTACAAAACATTGCTTAAAGAAATTAAAGATACATATAAATAGAAAGAGACCTTGTATTCATGGATTGGAGGATTTTTTGATATTGTTAAGATATCCACACAACCTCAAAATGATTTACAGGTTCAACACAATTCCTATCACAATCACAAGAGCATTTTTCACAGAAACAAAGTCATAAAACTCAAGGAATTCCAAATAACCAAAACAACTTACAAAAAAAGAGTAAGTTGGGCCTCCCCGGTGGCGCAGTGGTTGAGCGCTGGGTTGCGAAGCTGCCCGCGGCCTCCGCGCCGCTGGTTCGATCGCCGGCTGCTCCCCGGCCACCGGAGGAGGGTCCCACATGGCGCGCAGACCTCTCCTGCCGCCCACTGCTCCCCTCAGCAGTGTACTTCAGTCCTTCTGCCTGCTCTGCTCCCTGCTCTGGCTCTGGTGAATTCTCTCACCCTCCCGCGCTTCCGACTGTACCCAGTGCTTGTATAAACAAAACAAACAAACAAATAAATGAATAAATAAACATGCCTCTATTAAAAAAAAAATTAAAAAAAAAAAAGTAAGTTGAAGGCTCACACATCCTTATTTGAAAACATACTACAAAGTCACAGTAATCTAATAAAGTGTGGTACTGGCAGGCAGAAATATAGACCAATAGGGGCCTCCCTGGTGGCACAAGGGTTAAGACACAACCTATGAAGCTGTCCTCAGCCTCTGCAGCACGAGTTCAATCCCTGGACTGCCAGGGAGCTACCCGCATGGCGCAGCAAAACTCTCCTGATTTGCCCGCTGCTCCCCTCAGCAGTGTACTTCGGTCAATCTGCCTGTTCTGTTCCCCACTGTCTCTGGTGGCTCCTCTCACCCACCACACCTCTGGCCTGTACCCCAGCTCTTGTATGCATAAATAAATAAATCTTAAAAAAAAGAAATGAAATATAGACCAATAGGCTACTCAGAAATAAACCCTCACATATACATTCAAATGATTTTTAACAAGGGTGCCATGACAACTCAATGGGGAACAGTAATGTCTATAATGGTGTTAGAACTACTGAATATCCACATGCAAAGAGAATGAAGTTGGGCCATTCGTTATCTTATACCATATCCTAAGATTAATTTAAAACAGATTAAAGATCTAAATGTTAATAGCTAAAACTACAAAAACTCCTACAGGAAAACATAGGGGGAAAGTTTCACAACACTGGACTTGACGATGAATTCTTGGTATGACACCAAATACACACCAAAGCAAAAGTAATAAATGGAACAAGAATTTTATACATCAAAGAATTATGTTGCTATGTGCAATTAGCATAGTGAAAAGGGAACCCACAGAACAGGAGAAAAATATTTATAAATCAAATGTCTGCTACTAAGCTAATATCCAGATTTTTATGAAGAATTCCAACAACAGAATATCAAACAGCCCAAATAAAAAAATGGGCAAAGAACTAAATCAAAACCACAATGAGATACAACTTTAGAACCTCTGGGGGTCTCGTTGGTAGGGGTTAAGTCCCAGCACTATCATTGCTGCAACCTGAGCTTGAACCAAGCCAGGGAGCTAACCCAGATCCAGCGCAGCAGACCTCTCCTGTCTCCCCCACTGACCCCTCAGCAGTGTATTTCAGTAAATCCACCTGTTCTGCTCCCCACTGTTTCTGGTGAATCCTCTCCCATACCTCTGGCCTAAACCCCAGTTCTTCCATGCAAAAAATAAAATGAAATGAAATAAATACTATTTAAAAAATAGACCCTCTGGGGAGGCTAGAATGGAAAAGACACACATAACATGTGTCTGCAAGGATGTAGAAAAAATGGAACACCTGTGCATTGCTGGTAGGATTCTAAAATTGTGCAATTTTTATGGATTAACAGTACTGAGGTTTCTCAAAAACAAACTACCATATGATCCAGACATCCTACTTCCAGGTATATAGCCAAAATATTGAAAGCTGGATCTCAAAGATATATTTGCACACTCATGTTCATAGCAGCACTATTCACAATAGCCAAGAGATGGAATCAGCCCACATGTCCATTAACAGCTGAATGGACAAACAAAATATTAGACACACATACAATGGAGTATTATTCATCCTTAACAAGGAAAGAAATCCTGTCACATGCTACAACATGGATGAACCTTGTGGACCTTAAATGCTTAGTAAAATAGGCCAGTCATAAAAACAAATACTGTGTGATTCCACTCACATGAAGTATCTAAAACAGTCAAATTCATAGAAACAGAAAGGAGAATGGTAGTTACCAAGGGGTGAGGAATGAAAAAGAGGGAAATTGTTAAATGGGTAGTTTCAGATTTGTATGATGAAAAAGTTATGGAGATCTGCTTCACAACAAAGTTTATTTACTTAAAAATGTGCACATTAGGGCCTCCCCTGGTGGCGAAGTGGTTCAGCGCTGGGCTGCAAAGCTGCCTGCAGCCTCCGCAGCGCTGGTTCGATCCCCCGAACCCCGGCCGCCGGTGAGGGTCCCACAAGGCGCAACAGACCTCTCCTGCCTGTCTGTTCTGTTCCCCGCTCTGGTGAATTCTCTCACCTTCCTGTGCTTCTGACTGTACCCAGTGCTTGTATGTATGTATGTATGTATGTATGTATGTATGTATGTATGTATAAATAAATAAAATGTGCACATTAAGGGACCTCCCTGGTGGCGCAGCGGGTTGAACACAGCGCTGTGAAGCTGTCCACAGCCTCTGCAGCTTGGGTTTGATTCCCGGCTGGCCAAGGAGATAATCACATGGCGCAGTAGACCTCTCCTGTCGCACCCGCTGCTCCCCTCAGCAGTGTACTTCGGTCAATCTGCCTGTTCTGTTCCCCACTCTGTCTCTGGTGAATCCTCTCACATTCCCGCGCCTCTGGCCTGTACCCCAGCTCTTGTATAAATAAAAAAAAAAATAAACCTTTTTTAAAAGTTTAAAAAAATGAGCATATTAAACTGTGCACTTACAAATGGTTAAGTATACCCCTTTTATCAAACAAGTTTCTCTAGAATTTACTCACAAGATTTTACAAATCACCAATTACTTAAGAACACCTTTCTACTATACAAACATACACAACTATTGATATCTTTTGAAATATAATTTTAAAAATTGACATTGATAATTGATACCAACACTCAGAAACCTTTACTGAGTTTTTTGTGTGTATTTTACATGTTTAAAATTACCAAAGTTTATGTAACTTAATGGCAAACAATCCAAAGGTATTTGTAGCTTAAAAAAAAAAAAAAAAAAGGAACAGTTGAACAATGTGAGGTAGTCCCAAAGATATATTTAAAGTTATTCATTGACAAGATATGAAAACTATCATTGAAACTCATTTAATGTTCAACATTCCTCTCCCTTGTTCAAAATATGCTGGTACAAGGCTCAAAGCTCCCTCACCAGAGAACAGCACAGAACTTATAGCTGGAAAACAAACATTAAGAACCTTCTAGTAGTTGGGCCTCCCTGGTGGCACAAGGGGTTAAGAAGCAGCACTATGAAGCTATCCACATCCACTGCAGCACAAGTTTGATTCCAGCCAGGGAGCTGACCCACATGGCGCAGCAGACCTCTCATGTCTCGCCTGCCGCTCCCCTCAGCAGTGTGTTTCAGCAGATCCTCCTGTTCTGCTCCTCTGTCTCTAGTGAATCCTCTCACCCCCCGCATCTTTGGCCTGCACCCCAGTTCTTGTATGCGTAAATAAATCAATCTTAAAAAAAAAAACTTCCTAGTAGAAATTCAGGCAAGCTGCAAAGTCTAGCATGCCAAAATGACCTCGTTAGATGACACTAAGAATTAGGAGTTACTGATCCCTAAAATGTAGCATGTGATTCCACTAAACATAGGAGAGGGAGCTTATTATTAGTATACTTGAAATGACCAGTAAGAAGAGATACCTAAATGTTTCATATATGTAGTTAGATTACTAGTGCTAGATAGTATCAGATGCCACATTTTGCCCTATAACCTGTTCCATTTTCAGTGCCTTTATACACCCAGGATCATTACTTTAGTATGCCACTCTCTAACAGTGAAAGAAAAAAGGGGGACAAGAGAATAATTCTTAGTCTGAGCTCCAGAATGACAAGAATTTTCAACTTTCCTAAAGCAACTGATGAGAACAAGATTACTTTATATCAAAACCATTACAGGTATATTAAAGCATCCTGCAAAATATCCCCAAAAGAATTATCTAAAAGCTAAGGAAGCAAAATAATGAGTTTGAAAACATTTAATATTAATTAAGAGCAATATATTATTAAAGGCAATTATCTAATAGGACTAATGTTTCTACGTATTAGGTAAACCTGAAAGTAAACTCTAATGCAGAGGCTTTTTTCTTTTTTAATCTGTTAAAATAGAGGCACTTTGATTACAAATTTATTCACTGTGGAGTGAAGAAAAAATCTGACTTACCAATGCACACATAAAACAGCAGAAATAAAGTAACTCTGGCCAGTTGCTCTTCTCTATACTTAACTATCTCCATCTATCCCTTAGTCAGAAGTCATTACTTCTCCCAAAGGGAGATTTATGGGTTGTTTGTTCCATATGAAATAGCCATTCTCTGCTGAGGTTCCAGAACAGTCAACAGATCACAGGAAGATCTTTGGGCATTTGAGTGAAACTAACAGCTATAGTTTAACTGCTGGTCTTCAGTCAGGGCCAATAATGCAGATTTTTAAACTGGAGCATTTTATAGTTATTACAATTTTGGATTTAAAGTGGTAATTGTGCCAATGATTATCTGCTATTAGTCAAATAAGAAAATTCTTCCTTTCAATTCTTCCTACAAAAAAACATGCTTTAATGGCCCACCACAAAAAGGTTTCTACCAAATAATGTAGCCAAATCTGAAAACAGCATTAGGAGAATCTTCATATGCAAGTTATCTCCCAAGTTATTGTAAGATTATTACTTTGGGTCAAGTACTCAAAGTGTACTCTTCAACATGAAAAGCAAAAATAAACTTAGTCACGGACATCAAATAAACAACATGAGCATACAGAGAAAGCAGGAAGAGATTTTATAACATAGTACTTAATTTTTTTTTAATTTTTAAAAACTAACACACACTTCATCCTTAGTGGGTGAATCTTGACGAAAAGGAATACAAAGAAATTTTAAACTTTGGTGTTTCGTCAGGGGCTGGAGGAATTAGTTTTCAATGGGCACAGTTTCAGTTGGGAAAAATACAAAAGTTCTAGAGATAGATGGTGTTCTAGAGATAGATGGTGATATTTGCACAACATGAATTACATAAAGTCACTGGTCTTTGTAAAACTCTTTTGCTATTAAAAATAGCTCATGTGGGGGGGGGGCTCCCTAGTGGCACAGAGGTTAAATTTCAGTGCTATCAAGCTTTTGCCAGTCACTGCAGCATGAGTTCGAGCCGGTCAGGGAGCTAATCCACTTGGCACAGCAGACCTCTCCTGTCTCGCCCACTGCTAGCAGTGTATTTCCATCAGTCTGCCTGTTCTGCTTCCCACTCTTGTCTCTGGTGAATCCCCTTACCCCCCCCCCCCGCACCTCTGGCCTACACCCCAGTTCTTGTATGCATAAATAAATAAAATAAACCTTTTTAAGAAGTCAGGAGAAAAACAAATACCAGATGATTTCACTCGTGTGTGGAATATAAAGAAACAGACAAAACTGAACCAAAACAACCCCTAGAAATCTGACTGTAGAATTGACACTATCAGAAGAGGAAGATGAGGATGAGCATCAAAAAGGTAAGGGGGGTCAAGTAAACTATGGTGGAGAATTATTGATGCATAGGTGGTGGGCATGATGCGGAAACATCAATCTTAAGAGGTGTGACCCTAGACCCCTAAAACCATAGTGTAATAAACCAACATTACGTCAATAAAAACTAATTTAAAAAAGAAAATCAGCTTTAAACCACGAAATCAGCAACATCTGATACACAGGATGACCCAGTTTTAGAGAAAGTATGAGTTGCTGAGAAAGAGAAACACACACACTTCCCCCTTTCTGCCTTTGGGCCACTTAATCATCTGAACCTTGTTCATTCAAATGACAGAAACCCACAGTTCAATGATGCATTTCCCCAGAATGTCCTTAAGAAGCTTCCCAGAGTCTAAGCCACCAATGGTCACCACACCATTGTTTCCACAAAAAAGAAACATGCCATTCCTAAAAGAGTGCCAAAGTTCAAGTTACACAAGACAGAAATTCTCCAAGAAGTTCATTCCATATAGACATGAACTCACTACTGGACTGTTCCTCTTGCCAGTTTCTAAACAAATCTAAATAACCCAAGACAAAAGTCTACTCAATTGGAAAAGTATCAGTTAAAGGGTGTATTTATTTTTAGTTATGAGTTTAAGAAAAATACAAGATAAATACTTTAGGTACTTGTTATATTTTAACATCATCAAGCCCCTTCACAATCCTGATGAGATGCTGCAAAAACAAAAACAAATGCTTTTTCTATTAATGAAATTGAACCCATGGCTCCAATCACAATGTTTGTCTCATTAGCCCATGAAAGGTGCTCATTCCCAATCTGTTTCTTCATCCTGTAACCGTAGCTGTCCACTTCTATTCAACCTAGAATCATTTTTTAAGATCCAGTCAAAACCCTATCTTCTAGGATCAATTCCTGGTATCCTCACAACTTAGTTATCCCTTCCCACCTTACCCCTAAATTCATTGTATTTAAACAATAAATTCTAATAATCATCTCATTATTATTCTATAATAATCTAATAATTACCTCTGTTCTATGAAATTCTCTCTACTCCAACCCTTAATGAATTGCTTCTTTCAAGTACAATACACTCACAGTCAAATGCACAAAATTAAGGATTCCAATTCAAACATTAAGCATCTCTGTACTAGCACTGTGATAGCCATGAGGATTAAAAATAGGCACAATTTTCAAAAGGTAAGAAAAAAAATGAATAAAACATGAGCTCTATTTAAAGACCTTAATGATAAAGTCTTTAGGGGTGAAAGATACTAATGTCTTCAACTTACTTTGAAATGCATTCCCCAAAAATGGATGATCAATGCATAAAAGGGAGTAATGGCTAGATGGACAGATATATGACAAAGTAAGTACAGCAATATATTAAGGTAGAATCCAGGTGATGGGTCTATGGTGATCACTGTACAATTATGAGTATTCTAAGATTTTTCACAATAGAATGTTGAAGGAAAATGAAGAAAACATAGCCACTGCCACTCACCCCCCCAAATGAGCTTACAGTACAGTGAAAGTGCCACACAAGCAATTACAATTAAGTACACTGAATGAGCATAAATATGCATTAAAAACCCCAAGGCACAGCAAAATAGCTCTGAACTGGGAAAGGGGCACTCTGATATGGTTTCCAGGTGACCCCAATCTAAATATGAAACAACATGTACTGTTATGCTGGCAAGTGGGTACAAGGGTATTCTAGGCATTAGAAACAGCTCAAGCAAAGAAACATGTAGGCAAAGAAACTACCCTGTATATTGAAGAGCTAAGATCAGTTGGATACTACAGGGGAGAGGTTGGTTGGTTTGGAATGCCCTGATAAACTAGGGAACCTCAAACACTGTCCCCTCTCTTTAAGGAACACTCCCTGTAGTCTCCCAGATAAGTACTACCTTTCTGTTCCTATACTTTACATAAGTGTTCATCATTACAATGACCTTGGTGGTTGAATGTTTTGCTTCCTTAGCTACTTTCTCTATTAAGAATACAGACTGTGGAGGCCTCCCTGGTGGCCTAGAGGTTAAGTCTCAGCGCTATTATCACTACAACCTGTTTGATACCAACCAGGAAGCTAACCCACATATGGCACAGCAGAACTCCCCTGTGCCTGCTACTCTCAGCAACGCATTTCAGTAAATCCAGCTGTTCTGCTCCCCAACGTCTCTGGTGAATTCTCACGCTGTGCTCCTCTGGCCTACACCCCAGTTCTTCTATACAAAAATAAATAATTTTTTTTTTAAAAAAATACACACTGTGTGGACAAAAACTGCCTCTTTTATATGCAGTTCACTGAGAAGACACCAATATAATACATGTATAGCAAAGTTCATTCTTTTGAAATAAAGTTATGACCTAAATCCTATCTCCACGAACTTCACTCACAACAAAAAATATGTAGGCTAACTTAGAAAAGAGAAATACACAATACCACTTTTTCTGGGAGAAAAAATAACAAATGACATGCATGCCCAGAAAAATTGTGCAATTTTAAAAGCTACTAGGGTGATTAGATTCATAAATACAAACTACTTGCTGCTAAAAAAAATGTGCTGATATTATAAATCTAAAATCATTTCAAGGGGGAAAAAGTTAAAGAGCAATACGTGCAAATATGATCCAACTTGTTTCTACCCAGAAAATACCTAGAATACCAAGAAACTATCAGCAGTGGTTTCCTCTTAATGTTATAGAGCAACCCCGATATTAAACGGGTTCCTGGCTGTGGGTCCTCACCCGCGCGCTTTAAAGGGACTTATGAATACTCCACTACAGACACACACAAAAGGGTTAATAAAAGGTTTATTTACAAGAGAAAAGGAAATAAGGAAAATGTACAACTCAGGGAGAAAATAGGGAAATAAAGTCTTTAATGCGTCCTACCCGATCCGATGACCTGGAAACCCAAAGTCACTCTCAGAGCTGGCCAGATGCTGCGAGCTGGTGGAGAGCCAAAATGGGGGATCCCCAAAGCCCACGTGTCTGCCTTTTGTATCCACCTGGCTGCTTAACCCCACCCTCAGGTCCCAGCCACCTTCCCTTGGGTGGTGATGGGATTTGGAGTTCCCAGTGTCTTTGGCTTTGACCTGGGGTGGGGGTGGAGTCCACAAAGCCTATATGGAATTTGCTTTGGGACATCCTTTTCCCCTTAACATTAATACTGGGAATAGAGTGACTAGAGTTTTTCACTTTATGCCCCTATTGTACTGAATCTTTACCATAAGAAGGGATTATTTTTATACAAGCAGTAATAAAGCACCTTCTTTTGAAGCAGTTTGCTATAACCATTTAAAAATCCCTTTAAAAACATGAGGACCATGCTACAGAACCCGAAAGTCCTCTGGATACTACTTCAGTAAAATACTTAACCCAAGAAAGGCAGACAATACAAAGAATTACAGTATAGGGAACTCTCAATGGTTTCACTTGCATACTCCATGAAGATTAATTTAAAAGGAATGGAAGAGACAGGCAGATACAGAGAAAGAATCAATTTAACAATATCCTTAACTGGAACACAACTGAAAAATCATTCTGTAAGTTTTCAAACCACCAAGACCATGACACCATTTATCCAGGCATATTTTAACAAGCTTTTTTTCAAAATCATAACATAAATGAGAAATGCAAGAATCAATGGTGCACTGTATCTTGCAGTACTCACAGAATAGAAAAAGAGGACTCAAACACCTCAACCAGTCTTTTTTATGGACGCAATGAAACAGAAAAGAACACATACCATAAAACATATCAACCATAAAATATATGAAGTGATTCAGAAGGCAGAGAGCAGTAAAGTATTTGCTTTGCTGATTGACAAGCTACACAAAAAGCAATGAGCACAGAAGATGACAAAGGATGGGTTTCCCTCCTAACACAGCAATGGGACATATACTTGAGACTTAAAACATACTTCTTTTATGTCACCAAGAAGTTGAATATTC